CAAAACTTACTCGTCTCTGCTATCTGTTGTCTTATTTTGTCTTTTAAAGAGAAGCAGAAAAATGTATTTCCTAATTTGTCTTGAGAACGGAAAAAAAGCGACTTCTTATTTCGTCGTTACAGTCTTTATTTTTTATCCATACTAGTGCGACATAATTGTTCATACCAATGCGACATAATTATTCATACCATCTCTACGCATTAAACTCTACAGAAGATTATTGTTAGGTCGACTGAATCGACTGAATCGCATTTAGTATGAATTAATTTTTTCGCCTTGGTCTGAAAAATTATGTCACACTAGTTTGAATAAAAAATAAAAAGACTGTATATACTTTTTCTCTTTACGAACAAACGCGTAAACAAACAGTTGCGATAGCCAACAACAAATGAGAACCTTCAACGAAAACACAACAGATACCAAACCACACTCAAGTACATTTCCCTCATGGTGTTGATTCGCAAGCTTTTTTATAGGTGGAGAAAGGTCGGTAGGTTTTTAATAATCGTGAAGAGGAATGTGCCAAATCACCTTTGGCGTTGTGTTGGGTGAGCTTTTCTGGAGATAAACGCCCAGAATTGTAGTTCTAGTCAGAAATGGTCCAGGTATTTGCTGCCTGTTAGCTGTTTTTGGCGTCCTGGCTCACTGCCATTGGGAGCTGCAGTGTGCCAGAGGGGTTGCAATGTTATTTCATTGTCATTTTTGATTTTTTTTTGCTATTAGAGAAAACGAAAGACAGAACAAAAAGGTTTTGTGCTTTAGGTTTTCCAAAAAGATGCGAAAAAGAAAAAAAATTGAACGTTTATAATTTGGTGGCTCCAATCTTAAATCTTAGATACTTGGAGTGAAGTTTTTAGTGATTGTATTGCGAAACATCTGATAGGATGGTAGTTTATTGATTAGCTCTTCAATTTCGGACTTCACACCTTCCAATGGAAGCTTTAGATTGAACTTGTTTCTACTCATCTTGGTGCTGCAAAATGTTGTCGATGTCTTTACATTTTTAGTTTTGTGCTACTCTAGTCATCTCATTTTGGTGCGGAGTATTACCCTTCTTCTTCACCAACTGTATACTTAGAGCTAGATCTACAGGACTTTGTGCCACTTTCATCAAACGACCAGGCTCACAAGGTTACAAGAGTTTAGCTCATACCATCTGTATGCTCATATAAGGGGATATGTCTTGTTTCTTTCTACTTATAAGGGGATATGTCTTGTTTCTTTCTACTGGGAGGTGTAGTACACTTTTGAGTGGGAATCACAAAAGATCAGACTTCCCAGTTAGCTAAATGATTCACACCTCCCTCTGTTTAATCAATAACGAAGTAGTACACTCATTTGGGGAGAATTGACAAATACACCCTTTTCTATAAACAAATGCACGGAATAACCCCACACTCACTCAACTTTGAGATTTACAATATTATACAATAAAACTTTATTCATTTTAAACCTATAGACTATTCTCTAACCAAGACTGAAGCAGCACCCATACCAGTTCCGATACACATGGAGGTGACACCAATTTGACCTGGTTTCAACAAAGGCATGATAGTTGCGTATTGTCTAGCACCAGTAGTTCCCAAAGGATGTCCTAAAGCGATAGCACCACCATTCAAGTTAACCTTTGATTCATCAATGCCAACAGTTTGGATAGAGTACAAACATTGACCAGCAAAAGCTTCATTAATTTCAAACACATCAACGTCGTCAACCTTGAGACCAGTTCTTTGCAAAACTTCTGGAATAGCAAAGGCTGGACCAACACCCATAATTTCTGGTGGGACACCAGATACGGAACAAGCGACATATTTGGCAATGATTGGGTATCCGTGCTTTTCAGCAAAGGAACGTCTCATCAACAAAACAGCAGCAGCTCCATCTGAGATTTGTGAGGCGTTACCGGCTGTTGTGCTACCACCAAAGGCTGGCTTCAATTTTCCTAAACCAGCAGCGTCAACATTCTTTCTTGGACCTTCATCGGTGTCAACGGTGATTTCCTTTTCACTCTCACCATCACGGATAATAGATCTGATTGGCAAGATTTCCTCCTTGAATTTGCCACTGGCAATGGCATTTTCTGCCTTGTTGTATGATTTGGCAGCAAATGCATCTTGGGCCTCTCTTGACACGTTATACTTGTTGGCGACATTTTCGTTAGTGACACCCATTGGAACCAAACAGGAGGCAACCTGTTCATTGTCTCCTAAGTGAGGATCGACAGTAGGAATAGCCTTTTTGTAGTTTTTTGACATTGACTCAACTCCTCCAGCAAGACCACAGTCAATCTCGCCAACAGCAATCTTGTTTGCAATATCTGAGATGGCAATCAATCCAGATGAACAGAATCTATTGATACCAACGAAACCACTGGTGTAAGGAATACCTGCCGCTAAAGCAGCACTACGGTGTTCAAATCCACCAATACCTTGGTTCAAAACGTTACCAATGGCGACATCTTCAATCAACTTTGGGTCAACTTTGGTCTTGGCAAGGAACTCTTTTAAAAACTCAGTCAAGATGAAGTCAGTACCGACCGATCTGAATGAACCTTTGAAACCCTTACCAATGGCGGTTCTGTAAGCAGCGACAATGACAACGTCGTCTGGGTGCTTTTCTAAAATATCTTTCTTGGTGTGGTCTTTAACGTGACCGCTTAAGTTGTTGAGTGAGTTCATGATAAATAGGGGGTTTACTTTCTTTGGATGTGTTTGGAGAAGAAAAGTGAAGTAAAGCGGTGAAAAAGTTTTTGACAAATATGGGGAAAGGGCAAAATATTTAATATTTGTGCGCTTGTGATAATCAAATTATTCTTTTTTTTTTTTTCTTTTGCTCCACCCCCACCGACCGCTTTATCGGTTATTTCAGAGGATAAGGAAAAATGGCCCTATACCCCACATATTGAACCATGGGGGAATTGGCCTAGTGAGAATCAGATGCTGGATCAAAGCAATCTGAGCAAGGCTCCTAGATAGAGCTGCACCAGATAACGCTTTCGTTATAATATGCGGGTTATATTTCAAAGAGATCGTATATCCGCTAAAATCTATACCGAGGTTTAGTTTTGTCTGTCCTGCATACACAAACTTTATATCCGAGCTACCAAAGTACAATGTCGCATTTTTGATTTCGCGTCATTGAGACTAAATCTCCTCCTACTCATTCCCTCTCAAAGCTAAATACCCCTATAAATGGCTCGACATTGTCAGGCCTCCCTTCGGGACAGGGTCCTTTAAACACCAAGCTCGGTACTTGTTCTGCATCCTCGTCTTTGTTTCCATTTTCCGACTCGTTCTCCTCGTGAATGGTAATTTTGGTAAAGTCAATGCGCAACATGCCTTCCTCGTCTATGATAACATAAAGTTTGTACTTCTGGTCTTGTAGGTCGCTGGCATTGTTGTAATGGATTAAGCCATGGGTACTTCCTGTAATCAGTCCCAAGGTAGAGCCGATACCCATTATCGCTGCTTCGGCAATTCTGATGTAGATACCACTTAGACCAAATGGAGAGCAGTGCAACTCTAGAACTGCTTCATTGCAATACTGGAAGGTTACTTGTTGATCCGTGGTGAGTGAAGTTGTAGACATGGCGTTTGTTGTGGCAGCATCTCCATCATCTGTCGAAGAAAAAAAAAAAAAAGAAAAAGATCGAGAAAATCAAATTTCACGATTTGGTAGTGTCATTCGAGCCTATAGCTCCTTCTACAACATTGCTCGAGCTTGTCACTTCTATGCCACGTGGGAGTTTGGAGAGAGAGAGAGAGAGACAATAGTATCAGTTCTACGGTGCTTCACCCAGCCAATTATTCCGAAATCACAACATATACACCGCATCTTTAATTCACGTTCGTAAACTGTGGCGCTCTCATGAGTTTATCAAAGAAGCCAAGAGCCAACGTTGCATGCAACAGATGTCGCCAAAGCAAGCTACGATGTATCAATAGCAACCGCTCCACCTGTCAGAGATGTACAGAAATGAACTTGAGTTGTACTTACACCTTGAAAGCGTCACAAATGAAGAAAAAGAGCTTGATGCCAAGGCCCGTTCAGCACAACCCAGTCATCCTACCCAACAAAGAGCTTATCATTGAGACCGTGCAGATATTCTTTGACAACCAGTACAAGGGGATCTTTCCCATCTTCCACAAACCCACTTTTATGGCATTTCTCAGATCAGACGAATTCGACCCGACTACATTCATCGAACTGCCGCCAATCACAACACCTCTACAACCAAACCCGGTGGTTCTACTTGCCATCCTCGCACTTTGTGCCCGTTTACATAAAACCCTTCCTGACGCACTCAATGCATCCCTTGAGTTTGGGTGGCATGCACGTAAGTTGGTTCTGGCAGAATTTGACAACCCGTCACTATCAAATGTACAAGCGTTGTGCGTGTTAAGCAGCCATGAATGGGGAGAGGGAAATGCATGTAGAAGCTACATGTACGTCGGTTTAGCTGCCAGGATGGCGATGGTTTTAGGATTAAACGAAGAACCTACAGGGGCCAATGAATTAGAGAATGAGGTAAGGCGGCGGGCAATATGGGGGGTATACATGATGGACAGGTGCAATTCGAGTGGAAGAAAAGGGCACTCATGTATCAGTTTATCTGATATACATGTCAGACTCCTTGATCATGAGAGAAACTTTATATTTGGAGAAATTCAAAAGCAGTGTTTTCGCGATGAAGTTGACAAGGAGGAAATGGACAGGACCAAAATATCATGCAACGGGTTTATGATTTACTTGTTTGAGATTTGGAGGGAAATAGGGACTTGGGTTGGTGTAACGGGGTCAAAGTTGGAACCATTAGCGCCGTGGGATCCCGACTCTCCATTTTGCAAATTATCCAAAAGGTTGGACAAGTTTGAAAAACAACTTCCTTCCTCGCTCAACTTTTCACACCTCGAGGAACATATCAGCTTTGGATCAGCCGGGGATTTTGCATACTTCCATGGCTTGTTCTTTCTATGTCGAATTTTTCTCAACCGGGAGTATTTCTTTGCCCTGCCCGATATTGGTCCACCAGGTTGGTGGAACTCGCTTGCCACCGAGTTGTTTGATACATTGAATAAACTAGATCTGATTACAAAGAGGTTAAAACCGTTGAATCTTATGGTGATTGCTCCGTTTACAGGATTTCAGGTTTTCACAACTGCCGCCACCAGTTTGTACATTGCTGCTTATCCTGCCAAAGTTTTGAAACAACATTTTCCAACACAATCGCCTGATAAATTCAAATCAATGGCCAATGATTGCATCAAAACCCTAAACAGCTGGCTGCAATCGTGGGGGTTGGGCAAAAACTGGATTGAAACTTTGAAAAAGCTACAAGAGATGTTTTCGGAAGTGGCTGATTTGCAAGATGATGAAATACGGCACAGGATCAATGACTACGGGAATATTGAAAATACTATGCAAATACTGCATGTGCTTTCAGAGGAGACAGCAACGGATGATGCATTGAATGTGATGAATAATTTAGATTTATCGTCTATTTTTCCTGATTGGAATGAGGCTATGAATCTATACAGTTAGATTAAAAAGAGTATAGAAACAAATGTGACAATAGTGAGGTATCCGGGATGAAAGTTTGTAGCTTCTGAATCGACAACAACATCTCTCTTGATTATTGAAGGAGCGACAGTAGTTGTTATCGTGACGTATGTGGTGACTTCAGGAGCAAAAAGCCCACCAAGCCAGTTGGTGGTTGAAACTGTTTGTGAAGTAGTTGCAACAAAAGTAGGAGTGGGAGTAGCGGTAGCAGTAGCTTGTGACAGTTGCGTCAGTTTTGAAAAGAATCCATTAAACCAGTTCCAAAAAGCATTGGTTGAAGCTGGTGTGGATTGGGTGTTGGTAGTTGGAGCGCTAGTAGTTGGAGCGCTGGTGGTGGCAGGTGTGATGATGGAAAGTGCGCTGGTGACAAGTGTGTTGGCTGCAGAGGTACTATAGGCGTAGGTTGCAGAAATGGTGCTTGCCGGGGATGATCCTTCCAAAGCTTCGCTTATGCCGTTGATGAATTGCTGCGGTACTGAAGAAATGTCCCAAATGGAAACTCCACCAAAAGATGCATCATTTTTGATTGTTGATATTGTGTTTTGTACAGTTGATAAATCGACATAGCCCGATCCTGCCGAGGAAGAAGATCCAGCAATGCCCAAATATAATTTAATACTCTTACCCTGAGCATACTCACTCCAAGTGTCCCAATTAAACTGCTTATCAATGGAACAGTAGTTGTTGTAAAACTGGATAAAAGCGAAATCCAAATCGACTTGAGACATCAAATCGCCAACCGACTCATCAGGGTAAGGACATTGAGGGGCAGCCGAGAGATAAAACTTTTTTGAACTGGTTGCAAAGTATGCTTGTAGCTGTTTTGCCAATGCTGGGTAACCGGTCTGGTCTTTGTTTTCAATGTCAAAATCAAACCCATCCACCTCAGCATCGTCAAATGGCCTTTCATTATCCTGGCCACCACCAAATTTATTCCACAAAGTTGTAGCAAAAGTTTTGGCATCTGAATCACTCGAAAAACCATAATTTCCAGTAGCACCTCCCAACGAGAGAAGAATGATTTTGCCTTTATTTTGGCATGATTTGATATCTTGACCGATTTGTGAACAATGCAAAAGACCATCACCAAAAGTTTGAGAACACTGATTTGCGAAATTCAAGCTAATAGAAGGGAAGTTGTTCAAAAATGACAAGATGATGATATCAGCTGGTGACAGGGAGCAGTAGTCACCTAAGCTTTGTTGGTTGCCACCAGCGTTCTGGCCCCAATAAGCAGCTATATTTGATGCAAATGTGAAACGTAGTATAAAGAGGATGAACAACATTGGATCTTGGTGGTTGAATAGTGGAAACCCATTACGAACCAAAAGCCTCGCCTATATATATACAAGTCTTTGTTTGTCACAAAAATACGAGAAAAAATACGTTGTTTACCTAAAACAGATATGAAACTGAAGGGGGTGGTTTAAGGAGTGTTTTGATTTATGTTGCGTTCTCGTACGACGAGCGGAGGTTTTTGTGCTGTTTTAACCAACCAAAAGCATTGGTATCCATCGCCTCTGCTCACTTGCCAGTCCATTATCCAGTCCCCTTCCATATCCACCTTTCAGCTCCCATTATAATCGCCTTACCCCAAGTTGTGCCACTTTTTCTTATGCCTTCAGGTGATGGCATAGATCTTTTTGTCCCGATTAGGAAATGATTAAATGAACACAAAACCTAAATGCTTTTTCTTCTTTTTCTTCTTTTTTTCTTCTTTAAAAGTCGCGAATGTAAAACACACAAAATCAAATCTTTATTAAAACCTATACACTTCATATCAAAGCTAAGACCAAGAGGGAAATTACAGAACCACAGCCCAAGGTTGCAGCGACATTGGAGGCAGAGGTACTCGAGTTTGTCTCTGATGATTGGCCTGTTTGAGTGGAGGATGCAGCGGAAGATCCACTTCTTCCAGTTGAACTCGTTCTGGCAGAGCTTGTTTCAGTAGCTTCTGTTTCATCAGAGGCTGTTTCACTTGCATCTGATTTAGTTACGCTTGCTTCAGCGGCTTCAGTGGAGCCCGATGCACCATCACCCGAGGAAATGTCTTGAGACTCTGAAAGTGCTGACAAGGACCTAAGAATAGCATCAATGGCAGACGAACCTCTGCTTCCAATGGCCGATTCACTAACTTCCACGGCACTTCCCAGCACAGCCGTCAATACCAGACTGGCATCGTATGAAAAATCAACTGAGTCGCTACTAGCAGCTGCCGCGATTGAAATAACAAACAAAAAAAAGATATTCATCTTGGTTAGTGCTGCTTTGGGTCTTGATTGACAAGGGAGTCCATTTAGGTGGATATATATACTCCACGATGTTTAACCTCGGAGCTCTAAGTTACAATGGCAAGACTTTTGTTTTTTCTTTTTTTTTTTTATATATATTTTGGTCGCCTGGTTTTGTGATCTTACCAAATTAGGAACTTTTTTTAATCACAGGCAAAGAAATGATCCTGACCGCCTTGGAAAATGGTGGCAGCTATATTTGCTGTGATATAGCCACTTCAAATGCACCTTTGAGTTGTAAACTACGACCGGGAGAGAAGAATATTGCATCCACTGACGACTGTAGCAGTAGAAAGTTGTTCTTTTAGAGCTCGTTTATTGGCTGAAGTAGAATTGTACGAGTCATCAGACTTGCATTAGTAGAGCAATGCTAACACAATCACTTTAAAATTAAACTAAGTTGTGATATGTAGACTGTAACTGCCTTTCAACTACATCAAAGCTAAAACTAAGAACGAAATGAGAGTACCATAACCGGCTGTTGCCGCAACGTTGGATGTTGATTCACTGGAGCCAGCTTCTGAGGATGTGGATGAGTGGGTTGATGTGCCCATGGCGGATTCACTCGTCTTAGTTGAGCTTGCTTCTGTTTCGGAAGCTTCACCACTTGCAGTAGTTTCCTGAGAGACCGAAAGTGCCGACAATGTGTCAAGCAAATCACCAATGTCCGACGTTTCAGTCCCAGTAACTTGGAAATCACTCAAATCGAAACTATTTGTCGGGAAAAGGGTGGACAATGAAGCGTAAGCCAGAGCAGCACTGCAATACAATTGTCTCAACCCATCAGGCGAAGTATCAATTCCATCTTGCAGCGAAACATCACAGCTTTGAATGCAATCGCTGAGCTTCTTCCAATAATCATTATCATCAAGCTTGCAAATACATTCTAAAACATTGGCTTCATCTTGCTTACATTTATTGGATAAAGCTGTGCTAGCATCAATGCATTTTTGACTTTCGCAGCCATTTGCAAAGTCTCTGACAAAATTGAGCGCAGTAGTAATGGAGATGATATAAAATAAAGCAATGTTCATGTTTGGTATTCAAAGGTGTAAGTCTTGGCAAAGAGTGAAGTTCGACAGGTGGATATATATATATATATATATATAGACACCTCTTGAATGCAACGTGGAGTTTCAAAAGGGTTATTTTTAGTTTAGCAGTTATGCAGGGTAGTTTTTCTGAGTGACTAGCGCCGTATCTGCAATGATCAAGATTTACGGGTGGAGAAAAAAAGAAAAGAAGCTCGTTTAAAGTTGTCTTATGAAACGTTTGACTCTGGCGCAACGGAAGCGTATAATTTAAAACATAATCATATCTATTTAAAATACACATTTGAGCTTTTCCTTTGTACCACTGGCTCGACAGTCGACTCATATTCGTCTTTCTCAATAGGATGATGAGCACGATGGGGAAAGTATACCACATTTACCGGCGGAAGATAATAATGACTCGATATAGGATAGTATTTATACCCATCGATTTCATTCAAATCGATATCGGAATTAGTAGAGTTGGCTCGTTTGCTTTTATCAGTGGGTGATACATGCCCATCATCCTGCTCGTCGATATCGTCTTCAGTCAACTCCAAACTCACATGCTCATCATCGTCCTCCAATTTGTCTTTGACCAGCTCAGTAGCCAATTGGTAACTCTTTTTCGACAAGTAAGGACGGCATCTTATCAAAACATCTTTACGTTCCGAGTAAAAACTAGGGTTTCTCCCGCGAACAATGATTGGCTCACTTACCAATTCGGCAAGAAGAAACTCATTGGTGTTGCCATTGGCATTTAGGTTAGCAATGTCATCAACGTAGTCATCATAGTAGATATCGGCAACCACACAACTCAACTTCACCTTTAAATGGTAGTAGTTCTGAAAAGTGAGATTACCATTATTGGGCGTTGCATTCTTAAACTGTAGCTTTCTCACCACAAAGTATTTGTCCAATTCATTATTAACTCCAGAATCATTTAGGACAACAACATGCTCGGCACCTATACTCGTAGGTTGGACAACATCGTCCTTTGGTTCTTGTTTCACCGCCTCCTTTTCACTATTCCTTACTATAATGGGGACGCTATTGGAATTGGATATATTAGTCACTGCTTGGATTTCAATCTTGAAGTATTTTATAACTCTAGTTGTGGAGTACCCGTACTCACTTGTTTGCAACTTGAGCAATTTGAAATCATTGGTGACACCAGCTAGTCTCATGTTCATCAACACCTGAATGTAATTTCGCCTATAGCAAGACACAATCTTAGGATCCTCAAGAGGTTTACTCTCTACCTTTTGGAGTTCATTCTTGGTGAACAAGTAGTTGTTGTTATCGGTGTCGTTGGTGAAGAATTTCCCATTGAGAAACCCACTAAATGCAACGGCAACTTCTTTATTGTTGTTGTCGATAATCTTGTAATCGTTCATGCTAGTAGCTCCTGAATGGGTGAGGTCCAAAAGTTTTTTCAATTTGGCTGGCTTGTAGTCTATTTCAACAAGCGAATGCTTGAGATCCCGCTTTCTTCCCTTGGGCTTCTTTTTCGGACTGATGGGCTCTCGAACCTCCTCCTCTGCTGGAATATCCATTTCAAACTGCTGGTTTCTCTGCAATGGTTCATTTGGATGGAATGTGCCATATGGCTGTATCTCCTCCTGAAAGTATGGATACATTGGATTGTGAAAGTTTGGATAATGGGAGAGCAAGTTGGCGTCATAGGGAAGGTATGGTGCATAATGATTGACATGAGAAAACTGCTGTTGTTCTTGTTCATCCCCCGTTGGTCTGTTGATGAAGTTATTGTTATTGAGGAAATCTTGGTAACTGGAGTTGGGCAATGAAGTGGACGTAGTATTTTCTTTTGGAAGAAGAAAGTTGGAGTTGTCGACTAGCCTTTCAGTCATGCTTGAGGTAGTTGCAGGAGTAGTTGGTACTTGTGGCGTCTGTTGTAGCGATTCTGGTAGAAATAATGAGGCCAAGTCCTCTGTCCTATCATTTGAGTTCATGTTGAATAAAAAGTGGTGGGGGACCTTGAATCTCTCGGAGTCAGATTGCGCGTGATAAAAATGAAAACCAAAAAAAAATTTAAAAATTTAAAAATTTAAAATTAAAACCAAAGCAGACCAAAATTGGTAAATTATTTGTTTGTTGTTGGCTAAAAAAAAGGAAAAAAAAAGGGATTTTGCAAATTTTATGATTATTTTATGACCAACTAAAAAAGTCAAAAATGGATAAAATTGAAATTTACCTAAGGCGGATTGGTAATTGGGGGGAGTGTTTGAGAAAATTTGGAGTTTTCCGTGAATATTTATACTGGAGGAAAAACGTGCAGGCGCTTTTTTGGTTTTGGGGGGAAGACAATCAGGAAATGTGCAACTTAAAAAAAAAAAGTAAAATGTGTACACAAATCAAATGATAAATTTCTGTTGCTGGGTAATTTCTTCTTGAATTTCTAAAAAAATGTTTTAGGGGATGAAACTTTAACGAGCAAAATGGAGTTTGTTGAAGGGGGAGGGAGTATATTTCTTGAAAAATGTGTAGAAATGTGTTGAAATGTGTAAGGATAATCTTAAGGGAAAGCAACAGTTGGGAATAAATCTTATGATTTTTAGATAGACTTTTCTTTTTGTCAATTGGGGATGGGGAATAAGCTTTTGAGAAATAGACTCTTTGAGTAAAAACTTAATTTACCAAAGTGTGTTGTTGTTGAGACACTGATTACAACTTGTAGTGTCGAATAAATCAGACTGCTGGTTAATCTACTCACGGGGAACAGTAGTGCTTGCAGTGGTGATAAAGTGAACTGTTATTAGTGTGTGTGTGTGTGTGTGTGTGTGTGTGTGTGTGTGTGATGTATGATATTGGGTATCACTTGACTCAATTAACCTTTATATCATTTGCAAAAAATGCAAAAAAGTTAAAACCAATTTTGGTCATAGATATATCAAAGTTTCAGTTTTCATCAAACTGCCCCCCCCTCCTCTCTTTTACAATTTTCTTCAATTTACACTTTTTGAAAACAAGAAAATAACAACTTCTTAGGAGTCTAGTATCCAGCAATTTAACATTGTTTAATTGCCTTATTGTTAAAAAACTTCGGTGAATGACATATTTTTATACAACGTTTTGCTCAGCTGTAGGAATAACAATAATAACAATAATAATAATACTACTACTACTACTACTACTACTACTACTACTACCAATAATAATAATAATTTACATTTCCATTACCATATACACAGTTAAACCGACCCATACATTGGCAAACCGTAATATAAAGCAATAACTTAATACTTTAAATAAATACTTGCATCAAAAAATAAAATAATAATTTAAAATATCGTTCGTAAATGAAACCAATGATCACTTACACAAAACACACACAACAGACAACAACAACAACAAGAAAGGAGGAATAGACTACGGAGTATTCATCAACTGTATACCTGTGTCGAGAGCTTATCTGTGTATGTGCACGTGTCTGCAAAACAATACGGGTCAAATTTACCTTCGACTCTCCCTACACATACCAGAATACAACTGCAACAAACCTCACTATTTGTAAATCTATTAAACTTAAGATACGATGGCTCTAGACGCCCCAGATTCTTAATTTAATAAAAAGTAAATGACTGCAATGACAGCTGATCACCTCAATCCAGAGAGTTATAATAATTGCTTATCGCCTGTTGTATATTTATATGTACCTCTTTCACTTGCATATTGTTGCATTATAAAAATAAATTTATAGAAACAATCAAAGAAAAAAGATTAGATATAATTGATATATAATAAATCTCTAGCGGTTATCTTCAATCTTTTCCCTATGCCCGACTTGTTTGAGGCAGATAATATATAATATGAATCACCAAATATCGCCTTACTAAACAGACAAGCAAGCTCTTTTTATTAAGAATGACTGAGGCGGGTAGGAGAACTTTCTCCACAAATTGTCAAATTTCCACAAGTTTCTACAAATTACACTCAATCACGTGTGAAGGTATAAAGTTTCCCAATTTACACTTTTTGTTTTTCACTTCATCAGACCATGGGGCGTTGGATCTAAGCTTTGTTTTAAACATACCACTATTTTTGCACTCTTCCCCCATCAAATGGTACATATAAACCAAAAACTAATGAGCCGTTAGCAGTATAGACTAAACTGGTGATTTTGCCCATACCTACCCCTGCAGAGAGACACACATCTAGAGAGACATGCATTTTAAGCTTTGCATCTTTTCCACTTCCCCATAACCACTCTCTAAGCTTTAAGGGATTATAGCCTTTTTTTTTTCCAAAAGTTTAATTGCTTCAAACGTCAAAGAATCATTCGATTTTTTCTTCTTCATGATGTGTTGTTACGTCATAGCACGTCCAGTTCCAACGTTAATCGCTCAATGGCTCCTTCAAAGGCAAGGCCAAAACACTCTTCACCAGGCTAAGCTTTCTAGAGAGAGAGAAAGATGAAAATCAGGTGTTGCTAATTAATCATGTGGATACCTTCTATACTACATCAAAAAGCTGAACAGATTCATAGCTCAACCTCTTTTATACAACGCAACAACAATAACATTCGAGACAAGGTTAGGCTAAATTCTATCGAATTTCACAAAAACTACTACTCACACAGAAGAAGAAGAATTTTGGTAAAAGAAAAAAAAAAATTTCGTTTCGGATCTGATATTGTTTTTGTGTATACCCAATGGGTTAATGCCGTGCGTACATACAATTTGAATAATTATCCAGCCCACACACAAAATCCCAACCACCACCAACCATCGGAACAATTTCTCTCCGTTGGACAACAATTGAACAAAGCTTTTTCTCTTTGTTTGTACACCCCAAATCAACCAATCTACCACAATTACTAAACCATTACTAACGCCTTAAGATGTAGCCATATTCTCTCATAACAAAATTCCCATCTCGGAGATACTCTTTCGGAAAATTCTTCCATTATTAAAGCCTCCTTTTGCTTTCTCACTCTCTCCTCCCCCCTCACATATAATTCAAACGTTGTGCCCCCTTTTTTTACTTTATTCTTTGCTCTTCTTCTCAGCCTATTGTTCTCGATAACAACACTAAACGGCACTGGGAAGACTAATTTCAGGATAAGCTACATCGATACGGCGATTCGCTACTTTAAGCGATTCATAACCAATCAAGGATAGTAGAACAATATGTTAAATCTGTTTGATGAGATCCTACTGTGTAATGTATTATGATGCTATTTATAAAAATTTCAAAACAAACAAACAAAAAATGAACCCGAGCCTAAAGAGTTGAGAAAACAAAAGAAACAATAACAAGAAAATGTTTAAAAATAAAAAAAATAAAAAAAGTAAATGAAACGAGAGACAACGAAACAAAAAGCAAAAAACCAATCCACAGAATCTCCCTTGAGAGTTTCAAATGACTTTGTAAATCATCAATTTCTTTATAAAAGACACATCAAGTTCCTTCCAAATCCACATTCACTTCCAGCCTACCCAATTACCAGCACATCGCTACCACATCACTACTACTTCCCAAACAATGAGTCAAGATTCTGTATACTACGGCAGATCTGTCAACAAAGTATACAACCAAGAATTCATAATTGATCGACGATTCAAAATCATCAAAGAGTTGGGTCATGGGGCATACGGTATTGTTTGCTCAGCCAAATATGACGACGGCACCAATGCTGACCCCAACACTAATCTGTCCTCAGCTGATGGATCATACGTTGCCATCAAAAAGATTACCAACATCTTTAGCAAAAAGATTCTATGCAAACGTGCTTTAAGAGAGATTAAATTGTTGCAATTCTTTAGGGGCCATAAAAATATCACATGTCTTTACGACTTGGACATTATCCCCAACCCATTGACGGGTGAGTTCAATGAAATCTATTTATACGAAGAGCTAATGGAATGCGACATGCACCAAATCATCAGATCTGGCCAACCATTGACCGATCTGCATTATCAATCCTTCATATACCAAATATTGTGCGGATTAAAGTACATCCACTCGGCCGATGTGCTACATCGAGATTTGAAACCGGGAAACCTTCTCGTCAATGCTGATTGTGAATTGAAAATTTGTGATTTTGGACTTGCTCGAGGATTTTCAGAAAATCCTGAACAAAACCAAGGATTCATGACTGAATATGTGGCAACTAGATGGTATCGAGCCCCCGAGATTATGCTCAGCTTCACCAACTATACTAAGGCCATCGATGTGTGGTCTGTTGGATGTATATTGGCTGAATTACTTGGAGGCAAGCCGCTCTTCCGAGGTAAGGACTACGTTGACCAATTGAATCAGATTTTGATGATTTTGGGAACACCACCGGAATCGACCTTAGTTAAGATTGGTTCTCAGCGAGCACAAAACTATGTTCGCTCCTTGCCCATTATGAAGAAAATCAGCTACCGACACTTATTCCCCGAGGCCAATCCCTTGGCATTGGACTTGTTGGAGAGAATGTTGGCTTTAGATCCATACGAACGTATCAGTGTTGATGAAGCTTTGGAACACCCATACTTGGAAGTATGGCACGACCCGAGGGACGAGCCTGAATGCCAGGTCAAGTTTGATTTCAAAACATTTGAAACGTTTGAAGAGTTGGATGAAATGAAGCAACTTATCATGGATGAGGTGAGAACATTTAGAGATTTCGTTAGAAAACCAATAGAGGAACAACAGCAAATACAATTGCAAATGCAAATCCAACAACGCGAAAACCAAGAACTGGAAGAACAACAAAGACAACATAGAGCAATTGACGTTAGTTCTTCATCAAACATACGTGAAGATGATTATCCCAAACCCCAGGAATTGAATGACTTTTCCTTCCAAAGCTTAGAACTGAACAACTATCAATACGATTCTAGAGATGACAACATGAGTGGCGTAAATGTCAATGATTTCCAAAACACCCTTGGCCCCGACTACTACAAATTAGAAGAAGAGTTGGGATTTGGACTAGACGGAAATGCATTTGACAATTTCAATCAATAAAAGGTTTCATTCTCTATATATTGCGTACTTGAATATATCGCCATTCTTACAAAAACACCAGACTGCTTGCTTTTCAATAACGACATTGTCAATCTTACCATCGGGCACTATACTAGTCAAGTCGATCGTCACTAGCGGGATCGATATCGATGGCAAGTACTTGTCATTGACAATCGGTGAAATAATAGTACTACTCTGAATAAACTTTTTCTGCGGACTCTTTTTAACTCTAATGTCAAGTAATTGCTTGTAAAGGGAGATAATCGTTTCAGGTTGTTTGGGCTTTGGCGAGGGGTCATCCAGCAACACACTCGTCAAGTTTAGGCTTTTAGTAGACAACAAGTTGGTAAATGAAGGCGTGTTCAAAATTGGATCCGACGTCGACAAGTTTCTCCGGTGCGCCGACCTGGAATGTATAGGACCAGGACTAGGGCTGTGTGTGACTATATGAATACTGTTTTTCTTCTCATGAATCGACCTTCTACTTTCACGTGGCTTGGATTGAGACACAACAGCTTGGGGCTTTTTCACCTTGGGAACTGCTTTGTAGTCAAACTCCCACACAAATATCTTTCCATCATTACCGCAACTGACTAATTTGTACACCAGTAGGGAGTCATTGCTGCTGCTGCTGCTGTTGTTGTCGTTGAAAAACTGGATAGCTCTTACAGAGTTTGTATGTCCTTTAAACCGACAAACGATCTCAATTGACTTGACCATTGGAGGGTACAGCTTCTCTTGACCGTGATCATGCAAGCTTTGTGTAGCTGTCATCGAAGTGTAAAGTGAATTGTGACTATTCACCGTTCCACTTCTTGATCTGCCTTGGCGTTCGGGTTTCCGCAATAGCCCATTGATGTTGTAATATGTCATTTTAAATACTTCAATCAAGTCACCTTTACCCACAATCGAGAAAAACTTAAAGTCAGGACTAAACTTGATGTCGGAGATACCCGTGTTGAAATAATTGGACACAATATCAGTCACTAAGCTGCTACTAACTTCCTCTTGATCAAGACGGTAGGTAAACATGAAATCGATAAATTTGACAAACCCGTCTTCAGAGGCCACTGCCAACAACAACGGTTGCAAGTCATTTCGTAATGCATTTTCCACAGACAATGTTGACGAAATCGCCGTAATCGATTTATGACACAACTTGAAGTGACCAATCAATTGATCATCACTAGGTTCGCCAAATAAGCTTAGGTCAAACTTGCGGAAATACGTTACGTACGAATCAGTGCCGACCACCTCCTTTTTGTAATTTCGCATTTCATTTCTTCCAAGTGGATTGAGAATAAACACTTCACCATTAGAAGTTCCAGTAACGATAAGGTACTCATAAAGCGGATGCCTTATAGCATGCACCGTTGACACATTTACAAGATTGATTGATTCAGGCGAATTCAAATTCAAATCAATCTGTTTCATCTTCATACTCCTTGGCTTAACAATGACCACTTTACCCTGATTACACCCCAAAATTATTATCGGCTCTTCGTGAAACACAAACGCAGTTAAAGACGTTATCACGCACTTACTACTCAACTGGAGTCGTAGCAAAGGCTGCTCAATTTTTGATTCATTCTCCCTAACCTTTGTGTGTTCAAACTGTGACGATTCCGATAACCCCAATACATTAAGCACGTTAACATTTGTTGATACCAAAAGTCTCCCACATGAAGCGAAATCGTCGTTATAGCTCAAAATACTGACATCGGAGGCTTCGACATTGTCGTAAAATTCATCCTTGGTGAATAGCTTGTTCAAGTTTGTAGTCAACTTATTGAATGGATTTTTGGACTGAAATCGGGTTCTTGTTTCCACAATTGTCGTTAATGCACCGGGGTTCATATTGGGATTTCGAAATGGATCTTGCGTTAATGGGTTGACATTGGCACCAATGTGCATATTGCCCTCCAGCCGCTTGTCACTTTGTTGCACCTTCTCTTTAAATGCATTCACTAGGTGAAGAGGTAGCGAAACATATGTAGTCGATTCGAACGGACCCAATGGTGGACGAGCAATGTTTAAGTAGTCGCTCTCCAACTTCAATTTAGCATTAATCAGTTTCCCATTTGTCACGGGCCACGCAATTTCCGCAGTTGACCTAGGCATGTCATTCGGTAGACTGTGGTACTCATTATCCTCTAGTTGTGTATAGCCAGGACAAACCGAGTTAAGATACATTGTTGTATTAGCGAATGTCGCATCTGAAGTGTTTGGTGTAGTCAGTGTCATTATTGATTAAGAATGGGGTTAAATTTGAAATTGTCCCTAAAGAAACTTGTTGAAAAAAAAAAATCAGAAAATGGACGTCTAGTGGGATAAGTTTCACTCAATGTTGAATTGTACACGTGAACATAGATAACCAAAACTGTTGAAGATATATACACCTCTTTTGATAAATTTCTAACCGAAACAGTAAAAGGCCAACAAAAATAAAAAATGAGAAAATAAAAAAATAAAAATAAAAAAAAAAAAATGAAAGAAAAGAAAAAAATCCAACCGAAATTTTTCACCCATTCATAGAATCGCTAGTTTATACTCCGCTATACACCCGATGCTAAGGCTATTTCAAAGAAGTGTGCTGCCAACATCACTACTCAAACCATCTATTGTTGCTGCTACAGCCTCAACACTTGTGGTCCCCTCCAGGTTTAACTCCACAAACAAAGACGCCTCCTCTGCCACAAAATATGCCAATCCTGCCAAATCCGACATAAATATTGATGATTTGTTGAAAAGCTCTATCCCTGATTTATCATTCAGTGAATCCATGAATGAAAGGTTTGGCTTTGAAGCTAATAGACAACCAACCCCGCGTGAAGTCGCAAAGGGTATAAGGGAATTTGGAACCAATGCAGGAAGAACAGTTGACGTCAATTATAATAACTTGGCCAGAGCATTTACTCAGATAAAGAGGGTGGGTAATGAAAACAAGATTAGATACTTGCAAAAGATCCAGTCAAGGTATATTCGTCCCGCCAAATACAGAAAGCAATTAAAGAGGGAATGGTGGAGAAGGAAGTTTTCAGGAGGATTCAAAGACTTGTTGGCACAGGTTAACGATGCTAGAAGAAGAGGCTACTAAAGTTTATAGTGTGTAATAGGCTTTAATGGGCATTGTAAATAGAACATCTGTCAAAAGATTTTATTGGAAAAATATTCATTGCACATTTTTTTCTTTTGTTATCTGCGGCGTGAAATTTGCATCGGATAAACCTCATCCTGAATATTCATTCTGCACGCTACAACCGACAGCGCTCCTCCCTGCCCCGCCTGCAGATAATGTCCAACAACATGCACAAGAACGAGGGGTCTATCCCTGCAATAGCAAGCACGTTGGATCGTAAATATGCGGTCCACATATTTCCGGAGCAATTGCAGCCATTTCGTTCAGGAATACTTGCATATGGCGCATCTCTAGCGTCAACATTGGTGGGATACCCACTTGACACCATGAAAGTGAGGATGCAAACGCACAGCTATTTCAAAGGGTATCTAGATTGTGCCAAAAGGACGTACTTGGCTGAAGGAGTGAGGGGTTTTTTCCGAGGTGTGTGGGCTCCACTTATATCGACATCCTTTTCCAAATCCATCAATGTGTCGATTTACTCCTACTGCAAGCCACATGTTTATACGGCAATGTTTGAAAATAAACGGTATGGCAAAGTACTACAGGAACATCCATTTATGAGGAACTTACCAGTATGTTTTGTTTCCGGCTGGCTTGCTGGTGGTGGAGTCAGTTTATTTGCATGTCCTTTTGAATTTATCAAGGTATACTCCCAGTTGGAGAAACTTGTTACTACTAATTCGTCATTAGGAAGTATCAAGACAAGGATACAGACGCCATCTACACTTCAAATCACCAATGCAATAATCAAATCGGAAGGATTGCGAGGACTCTATTCTGGATTTAAATTGCATTTTCTCAGGGATTCTTTATCCACCGCAGTGTATTTCAGCTTATACGAGCTGATTAAACTATTTACCAATGATTTAACCAACAAAAATGCCTCAACTACTTCTCCGTTTGCGGTGTTGCTATCGGGGGGACTTTCAGGTGTCCTTAGCTGGATCATCATTTTCCCAATAGATACAGCAAAGTCATTAGTACAAAAAGCTGCCGTGATTAGTATATTTAGAAAACTGCACGGCTTATCCCAAGCACCAGCAGAATCGTATAAAAAGAAGGACGGTTGGTTCTATCGTGGCTTGGGTATTTCAATAACTAGGTCATTTTTGACAAACATGGTGTTTTTTGGGGTGTTTGAATTTGGCATGGCCTATCTAGCTTAGACTATACATTTATTAGACTTATTTATTCAATATTTCCGTCTCTTTTTAAGTGGGGACTTTGACCTAGTGCGAGATGCAGGGTATTCCATTGGCTCAACGGAAGACTGGCGCAACGATCCAATCGAGCTTACTCTCTTTCTTCCTCTCGAAGATTCTGACTCTGCTTCGCTAATGTCATCATTTGAGTGCCCTTCATCAACGCTTTCCAAATGTTCAAACTGCTCAATTTCACTCAAATCCAAACCAAGAATTCTACGTCTTCTAGCTCGTGACTTTCTTTTCGATGGGTTGCGTCTTATAATGTGGGTCTGAGTGGACTCTGTGAGGTCAAGTGACGGCTTTGAGACCGCCAATTTTATTACATCTTCCAAGTTTAGTTCGTTTTCATCAGAACAGTGATCTGTGAGTGACTCGATTGGATGGGGGACATTTTTGGAGTTGACTTGATCATCACTGGATGATTCTTCCCTTTTCACTTTGTCTTCATGTAAGGGAGAGTCTTTGACAGCAGTATCTGATGTAGCGGAGTAGTAATCAGCACTATTTTGATCCGTGATTACTTCCTTCTTTACAACGACCACATCTGGTGTAGCAGAACTGTCAGTATCGTCACTTTGATCTGCAATTACTTCCTTTTTGGCCACAGATTGCAATAATGGTGCTGGCGATGGAGCAACAATATCTGGTTCCGAAACTTCCAATGGTGGAAAGTTTCTTTTTAATGGTAACTCATGCCTTCTGATTTTCCGCCTCCTCCGTCTTCTTCTTGAAGGTCTCGAATAAGTAATTTCGAATTTTGCATTGGTCAACAATTCCTCATCGCTACCACTTGAAAACTCTTCAACGATAAGCAGCTCTCTCGTCCTCTCTATTGCCTCAGAAAATGATCTTAATCTATTGGATACAAAATCAGCAAACTTGACAGAACTGGAGACTTTTTTGTGGACATTATTTTCATTTGGATCTTTGTCTGATGCGCTTACATCTGCTGAAATTTCTCCTTCATCCATTTGTTCAACAAAATGTGTTGCAGCATCAGCTATACCATTTACGGAGTCGAGTTGAATATTTATTGATGCACTCAGTCCTCGCTCTTCATCCTCATTATCAACTTTATCTCTCTCTACCGGGCCCTCTCCTTTGTCTGATTTTCCTTCATCCATCTCTTCAATAAAATCAGATGCTGCATTGACCAAATCTTTCACGCGACCACTACCCACAATTGGTAGTTCATTACTTTCCAGTATCAAAGTTTCACCCATTTCCATTTCTTCAACAAAATCAGTAGCAGCTTGTAAGAGATTTCCTGCAGAATTCTCATTTGTATCCATTGGCGAGGCTGCAGACTCAGGCTCATGTTCTGGGATAGCTTCCTTAGATTCATGAGCACCATCCACGCCATCTGCACCGCTTCCAACACCAGAAACCTCTTTTGCCATGCTTCCTTCATTGTCAGATGATTTGCCACTCTGAATCTCTTCAACAAACTCTTCCACCGCATCCACTATGCTTCCACTAACAGGCTCATCTACATTACATGAGGCATCCTCGTTGCGTGCAGTTGAATGATTCCCTCGAAATACCTCTCTCAATAAGCGATTTACATCCTCAACCGTAACTCTTGAAATTTGATGCTCACTAGGAGCCGCATTAGTCAAAACTGTTGTAGCATTCACTTTATCACCTTTATCCTCCTCAACATGAGATACAGTCGCTTCAGCTAGATGCTCTTGATTTTCCAGCTGAGGTGAATATTTAGAATACGCAAGCAATGATTTTGATGGCCCAACATTGGGGAAAATGTGGCGTAGCTTTTCACGGATATCAGAAGCGCTGAGTTTCAGAACCACTTTTTCAGTTGGCCCAAGTATTGCCGGCCCGCTCGAGCTCCCAACGTTCACGTCAATTCCCGCTTCTCGCCCACCAAAAAAGTCAGCTCCAGTATTATCATACTCCTCATTCTCGGCTAAACTATAAGCCAAATTTATCACGTCTTGCACAAGATCATTATCGATACCTCGCACTGGTGAAGAGGTAGACGCAATCTCAGATTTATGTGATCCCAAGTCCTGTTGACTAACGTCTTCAGCAGTGGCATTATCAGTCAATAGTGCTGGTTCATTTTGGTACGAATTTCTCCAACTCGATACTCCCCCACGGTCAAACCTGGATTCAATGTTCTGATCGGGGCTGGCACTGGACAGCTCTGCGTGGGCAGAGTTTTCACGATCGGTTGAATTCGTTTGCTCTTTCTCATCCATTTCATCTGCCTTGTTTTCTGATCCGGTATCATTGGTTTTCAGCAACTCACTTTCATCTTCAACACCAACTGAACCTATCCTAATAACCGTGAGCTCCTCTTCGTCACTACTTGATCCATCACTGATTATAGTGATCTCACTATCTTCTTCTCCGCTAGAGCCACTGCTAATTACAGTTACTACTTCATCTTCATTATCAGAATCACTGCTAATCACAGTAATTTCTATCTCTTCATTCTCTCCCTCAGAATAGCCAGGTTCTTGTCTTTCTAACTGCATGGCTCCACTTGGGTCCAGCACATTCCCATGAGACACATTTTTTTCAAACCCTGCTCCAGCTAAATCATCTGAAGATTCATGTCCGTCATTTTCATCTATAGTTTTGCCATCCGAAACGACACTAGTTTCAGCAGAAGAACTAAACTCATGTATCGATTCGAGTACTGGGGTCTCAATACTATTGGGCTCCGGCGTACCAACAATAGACGATTCTTGAGCATCATTTTCTTCATACCCACTTGTTTTGGTCAGAGGTGACTCAATTATTTCCTCATCATCTTCTGGAATCACTTCGGTTGCTTTGTTGTTATCTTCACTTAGACCAATTTCAGACAACTTAGCCGAAGCAGCATCACTACTTGATTGCTCAGCCATATGGCTTTGCTCCTCATGTCGAATAAGTGCTTCTGTTTGAGGAGTTTGGTTGTAGTCGCTGGCTTCTGCCTTCATATCCATATTATCGTTCAATTGAACTTCTTCCGCAAGGGTGCCAGCAGATCCCAACTTTGATTCATTATCACTCACTTCATCAACTTCCATGTCATCCTGTGACTGCTCAATATTGCTGGAAATAGTGTCATACGAAGAAATGGCACTGGTGTTTGCATCGATGCTTTCCAAAACTGGTACAGGGATCTCTTTCCATGCATTTGTAGTATCGTCATGTAATGCCTGGGTCTTCCCTTCATCGTCCCACATATCAAAACCAAGTTTGTATGGTCTCTCAGCACCTTCATCTGGTGGCTCAGAAAATGATTTGATTGATCTCTCCAAATCTTCAACTGCATCTATCTTTATGTTATACTTTTTCTCAGCATTCTTCAAGTTTTGTAAAATAGTTTCAGGATCTTCTTCTTCCTCAATCGATTTGAATATAGGTGCTGGTGGGTTTTCATCACTCAGGTATTCGAGTTCAGGATTTTTGACTACTTGAATGTCCGCTTCTTCAACAATAAATGGAGCAGCCACAACTTGATTCTCATCTTGTGGATAACTCTGTTCTTCATTAAAGCTCGTGCTACGGCCCACATTACCCACATGATATTGTTTGTCTTGATGGTAGTCACTTCTGTGCGATTCATATTGACTTTCATCGGCCAATGAGCCCTCCGACCTGTTCTCATCGAAATCATTAACTTTCATTCGCTGATCACTTAATTCTTGTGCATAAAAAGGATCAGGTACTGGCGCTAGCTCATCTGGACGAAAATCATTATTATCCAAGTGAGTATCCGAATCAATATCATCGTCTTTTGTAACCCTTGGAAGGTTATTGTCAGTGTACTCTGCATCAGCCATGTATCCTGACTGGGCATGTGTGTCTTTAAAGTTGTGGAAGGTTCTGTCACCAAGGGCCCGTGATGCAAAAGTCTGAAGTGTGTTATAAGCATTTGCGGGAACATTTTGGGAATATTCAGGTTCGTCTTCCTCCTTCTCTTCATCAGCAAATCCTTCGGCTTGCGAATCAAAGTTTGAAGCTTGGTTCTCCAGTTCGGAATTAGGATGAGGCGAGACAGATCTGGCATCAATTGAGATTGAAGCAGAGTGTTGCCTTGGGTGGGTTGCTTCTCTGGAAGTGTATCCTATGTAATCATTTGATTCTATTTCAGAGTTCACACTACTTCCACCCAGCAGATTGACATACTCAAGAGATCTCTGCTCGTAATCATCTTCGATGTATTGCTCATTGTCTGAACCTAATCTTTGAAGGTCAATTTCTTCCCTGCCTTGCGCATTTTGTACAAATCTTTCGTCACTGCTGTCTGGCAGCATATCATCTTCGTAATTAGACTCAACCTTGTTATTTAAGTCAATATCTTGATCCAATTCACCTTCATGTGACTTATACTCCCCGGATTGTGTGTTTAAATAACTTCCACTTCCACCTTTTGTTTCAGGGTACACATCGTCTTCTTCTGCCGCCTGGTAATCAACCCTGCTTTCACAATCTTGTTCGTCTTCATGATCATCTTGTTCTGAGTATTCTTCCTCGCCATATTGTTCTTGCCCTTCGCCGGCATACGAAAAACGATTATCGTATGGATCTATTCTTCTTTGGGAAGGTTGCGAGTAAGCGAGTGCACTCTGTGCTGCGTCGAAAAGCGAAATGTCGTTGTAGTTACTATTTAGGTGATCATGTTGACCAAATGGATGCGAAGAATCGTGGTTCTCGTTTTCTAGCTCTACTTCTGACTCGATCTCTGATTGTCCCTCTGACTCCACCTCTGCTTCTGATGAAATTTCAATCACGTCATTGACTTCATCGTATCTACTGGCTTTCAACTGTCCTTCTACGTTATGATATTCGTATTGTTCCTCAGAGCCGCTTTCATCCTCGTTCAAACTATCTCTCAATTCTTCTGACTCTTCGACCTCCAAGTCTACATCCAGACTGCCATCTTTGCTATTATCAACCCAATGCAGCGATGGATCATCTTGATGATTAGATAGGTTTCGCAATTCAGGCATAGCTTTCTCTTGTAACAAAGCTAAGTCAGCAACACTTTGCGCTTCCTCAGCTTCTCTTTGCTCGAGTAATTTGCCCAACTTGGCAAAATCTTCATCAAAATGCTTTGATTGTAATTCCTGCTTTAATCTTCTTTTGTTGTCCTCTTCTTGCTGTTGTTGTAGCAAATCATGTAGTTCTTGTCGCTGTTTCGATTTCAAGTTCTGGTAACGTGACTTTATACTGTCAATCCAGTCCACTACATCGTCAGCATCTTGTTGCTTAAAGATTGCCGACGAGTTGGAGTTCAAAGATCGATTGTAAAGTGAGTGCTTGATGGTTGAGGTATTGAAGGAATTATCTCCTGAGTGTGATTCGATCCTGTGAAGGCCATATACTTTTGTGCTGCCACTGGTTGATGAAATAGAACGTGATCGCTGACGATCATTGTCGGATGCACTAGTCGATTTTCTGCGGTATAGCGGCGAAAAGCGATCACTCATTATTGTGTTGATTGTATAGGGGCCAATGCCGTTAACAGCCTTGATGTACTCAATTGTGATTGCAGATGATTGAATGACGTTTGATGTTCTCCGTAATAATTTCCATATCATTTTTCAGTTGGCTGATGAATTGTCGTATTATTGTGTCGCATTTGTGGAAGATATATCCGACATACGAGTCACGTGAATAATAATACACATTCCTCGACTCGACGTGACAACCCACTTGAAATTGCAATTCCACAACCAAACTAAGAGGGATCCCAAGAGTTAGATAGGGGTACTTCCATGATTACACAAATTTGCAAATTCCCTTTCTGCAAGGACCTTGAGTCAGATCACGTTTTTAAAAATAGGTTTGATACGCCTACAAGATAAGGCCTTGCGGTGAAAGTTGCTGCAGTTTGCTGGCTTGTGGAGTCAATCCGAATTTGAATATATGCATTTAATTAAACTCTACTGATGTAGGTCTTAAAAAGAGTTAGTGAGCATTGACATGGAAAACTTGGTCCTTCGATTTAACAATTTCATGCATCTTCGCTTAAAAGAAAAACCTACTTCCTATAGACGTCAGGAGTTAAAGATATTGACAGTTGAGGCTTTGTTAGTTAGATTCTTTACTCTGCACGGCGCTTTATAAGCAATTGGTCTTTCTTTCTTGCTAACTACAATCTTCAAATTTCACAACAGCTAAAGGTAGCTCAGGTTTTTGAAAATTTCTTTTTCTTTTCCTTTTCCTTCTTGGAACAGCTAAAAAAGTGTATATTTCGGAGCCTGCAATAAAGACAAGATATGTACAAAAGATAGATAAAACAGGTAGAAAATGAGTGAATGTACTTGACAGAGAGCTACATGACTCGTAACAAAGTGTGAAAGAACTATGACAGTTAGTGCCTCTTGGTTGGATGGTTCGGGATCCAACGGTTCATAACCAACCTCACTATTCACCAACAAAGTCTTTGCTGTTTCAACCTTATATTTTACGCTCTTACATAAATAATGATGTTTCTTAAATTTCCAAGAGTGTGGGCGTTCTCTCCAAAAAAGCACAGCCTAAGGAGGATGGAAGAAGGTTTTTCCATCTTCTTACCAGTCATACGGGTTATGAGGCTCCAACAGTTTACGCACTCTCTGCTTTTGTGGGTCCACACAAAGAAAATTTCACTTTGAAAAAAGTGTGACAATAGTAGAGGCATAAGTTGGTTCAAAAGCTGGGCCAACAATAGTAGACAGAGGTGATTTAATTGAAAGGGGGTATGATTAGAATCATATGACACTGATAATAGCCCATTGTTTAGGGAACCCAATTGGTATTAGATACGAAATGATTGTTCATATTTCCCATATACTTTGCACCAAATAGTTTATTGTTTTTACAACTCAATTGTTGGTGGGGGGTAAACCTAGAACCACAGATACACTCTTGTGTATTGTTCTTTTATTTTATTTTAGTATGTACGTGTGCATTGCCTAAAAGAGGGAATAATAGAAACAAAAGAAAAGATGATTTAACACACATAGCAACAAAAGGAAAAAGACAATAACAATTTAAATAACAATTAACAATTGAAAGAGGGAGAAGAAGAACAATATACAACTTTTGATTCTCGATGAGAACACTAAATTGTTTTCAATTTATAGGTTTGTGTAGCTACAATTGTAGAGCGACGGACTATCAAATCAAAAAGACCATATGTGATGCGAGTAATATGAACCACAAATACTTCATTTATATAAACATCACTTCTCACACTACTACTACTGCTTTTTGTTTAATGACTACTTTACCATTTTCTATTCTGATTGTAAATTAAAGAAACAAATTCTTTATTCTTAGAAATAAGCCCCCTTGCATAAAATTAATTATAAAGTAGATAATTTAAGTTTATATGTACTTGGGACTATCGGCGTTTTCGATGGATGCAGAAAACAACCTCAATTTTTCACTTGGAAAAAGGGAAAGCTAAGAAGTTAAAGTTAATGCTACTGAATACACTTCAGCAAGAGCGTCAACTTCTTCCACTGAGTGTGTAACTCGTTACTCAAGCTACAATTTTGAAGTAACTGGCATGATAAAGCTCTCTAGTCTTGTTAGGAAAAGAGAGGCGGAGAACAGAAAAATAAAAAATCAGTTTCAAATGACTTCAATTAATTGTTGTATTTATTGTTGTTGTTAGTTGAGACAAAGACAAAGATCTTATATTCGGTGCTAACTTTTAAACCACAAAAGTTAGTTAAACAACTTTTACGATGAACCTCACTAAAAGTTTTTTTCTATTCTTTCTCGTACAAAGTACTACACAATTGGGAAGAAAACAAATTTCAATTGTCATTTCAATTGATGAACGTTTCATTAACTTTTTTGAAAATTCCGCGAGGGGCTTATATACTACTAGTAACAATAGTAGCCTCTAAAATGCCACTTAGCAACTAAAAATTTCTTTTTCTCTCTTTTTGTTTTTTGTTTTCTTTTTTTTTCTTAATTTTGTTACTTACTATCGAAATAATCGAGTAGACATATGCTCCTCAACTAGAATTATACTGACTCTTTCCTTTGGTTCTTCCAAGCCACAAGAGAGAAAACCTAATACAATAAAAGAGCTGAAACTGAACCACAGGGCTTTGCATTTTAGCACTGGTAAATCATCAAACTAGATCTACTTAAATCCGTCTCTCCAAAAGTTTCTCACATGCCTATTTTTAGATACACTGAAGTCATGGATCTGGTAGAGTAGTATTTCACATTTGGCAAAAGAGCCTTAGAGGCAGGTCATCATGGTACTAGCGTTCATAACACATTCCCAAAATGCAATTGATCCTCTTCCTGTTGTAAGATATTACCACTTGGTAATGAATAGACGCCCTTACAAAGTGGCACATTTCCATACACAGCAACACACACACACACACACACACACACACATTGAACATAGAAAATTTCTTTTTATGTTTACGCTGTAATTGAAATTACACAAACTTACTTTTCATTCTTCACCACAATATTCTTTGTGTAATACCAGAACACATTTTACACTCACCAACTATTACCTAAAAGTCTTTTGATTTACCCCCTTGTACATTTCCAAAAGTAGATGAAATTTTAAAGTAAACACTTTAGCTTTAGCTTGCATTAAGAGAAGAGATTATATAAATAACCCACCTCAATTCCTTCTTTTTCAATTTCTTGTCCCATTCTCTCTTCCCTCTTCCCTCTTCCCTCTTCATCAATTCAATCGCTACTTTCGTTTTCACCACCTTTACCACCAACAGTTTGAATATATAACCACTCTACATACAACTATAATTTCACAATGACTGTAGAAGTAACATCACCAACAACTGCTGACGATATCGAACAACAACGTCCCCTTTACGAACCAGAATACAAAGAAGCATACACCAATTCAGCATTCAAGAACCATTTAATTGCCTTCCTTGGTGAGTTTTTCGGTACTTTTATCTTTTTATGGGTTGCTTTCGTCATTGCTCAAATTGCCAACCAAGATCCAAACATCCCTAAAGCCGGTGGAGGATCAGACCCTATGCAATTGATTATGATTTCATTTGGGTTTGGTTTCGGGGTCATGATGGGTGTGTTTATGTTTTTCAGAGTTTCTGGTGGTAACTTGAACCCAGCAGTTACTTTGTCTTTGGTTTTGGCTGGTGCTGTTCCTCCAATTAGAGGTGCTGTTATGGTGGTTGCCCAAATGATTGGTGGTATGGCTGCTGCTGGTGCTGCATCAGCAATGACTCCCGGTAAGATTGCCTTTGCCAATGCATTGGGTGGTGGTGCTTCAAGATCAAGAGGAGTGTTTTTGGAAGCATTTGGTACTTTTATCTTGTGTTTTACCGTCTTGATGATGGCAGTTGAGAAATCAAGAGCCACATTTATGGCCCCATTTGTCATTGGTATTTCATTAATGTTGGGACATTTAATTTGCGTTTACTATACCGGTGCCGGTTTGAATCCTGCTAGATCTTTTGGTCCATGTATTGCCAGTAGATCATTCCCAAACTATCACTGGATCTATTGGGTTGGCCCAATCTTGGGTGCAGTTTTGGCTTGGGGTGTTTGGAGATTATTCACCTTCTTGGGTTATAGATCTTGTAACCCAGGTCAAGATAGTGATGAATAAGGAAGGATGGATTAGTATTAATTGAAAATCAAAGTTTATTCTACTACTTTCACCATTACTACAACGGGGTTTTATCAAAAAGCATGGAAATATATAATATTAATGTACGTAATTTATTCGCAGCCAATAAGAGTACGTCCCTTCTTTCTCTGCTTGGGCTAGGGTTGTTGAGAGGAAATAACAACTTCCCCGTATAAATAGCCAGCGTATGTTTCCTAAAAGCATATTCTGAATCAAACACCTCTTATTTCATCTATTTACATAGAAATTAAAACCTACATACTAGCACCACAAAACACAAATTCTCTCCCTCTCACTCAAACTACTTCAAGTTCATATCACTCATGGTAAACAACAAGTCATCATCATCTTCACAATCCTCTTTCTTTCCACTCATCTTCTTCCTCCGAATAGCATCTTCCTCATTAATAATAGACCTGTCGTTAGCTTTAAGCGATGATCTGTAGTCGTAGATGGAGGGACTAGTCGCCATTCCAGTGACAACAGTGGTGGGCTTACTCTTGATCGAGGGCAAAACACTATTGGTATTCCCACCTGTACTGCTATTGACACTGTGCGATGATGAACAATGGATAGATGAAAGCTTTGTGTTGCTGGTTGGTTCTTGATTACTTGCATCAGCATTGGTGATGGTTGCAGTGGCTGCCGGAGCTGCTGCATTAGAAGAATTTATGCGTGAAGTGATTAATGGCCTATTAGGTTCAATACTAGTGGCTCTCGGTGAATTCTCTCTTAATTTAGATTGTAAAGACGACACAATCAATTGGGACTGATCAAATGAACCGGGAGGCGAGTTTAATGAACTCTTGCGACTACTTTGTCTTGATTGTAGTACGACGCTTGCATTAACATTGTCACTTAATTGCTGGTGTTTGCCCTTCAACAGTTGATATTTGCGTAAAACATTTGCATCACCACTTTCATTCGATTCCACTATTGGTTTCGTCTTTATAGAATCATCAGTGTTGCTTCTCCCTAATTTCAAATCCGATTTGCTATCAATCATTCGTACAAAGTCATTGATATCATCGTCGATATACAATCCACTCAATGCGGCATCAACACTATTACCATGACCAAAGTAATCAGACAGTGGAGTTTGTTGACGAACACTGGTATTGCTGAATCTACGACTGGCGCGAGATCCAAACGAGGAGGAAAACCGTGGCGTATTGTTGCTACTGTCAGGGTGGGGAAATAACCCATCGTCATGACCGGTGGATGAGCTTACCGACTTTGGAATCGATGTACCATACGGGTTGTGGTTGCTGCCCATGATTGGAACTGCATTTGTTGATGGGGTGCTGCTTCTTGGATTTCTCAAAAATGCAGCCAAAGAAGCATTTGATATTGATTTGTTGCTGGTTATTGAAACTTTTCTTTCCAAGGATGATGCAATGTTTTGCCCTGTACTAGCTTGCCCTGGTTGCCCTCCGGCGTTGATTGGCCCGGGAGTAGGTGAAATTTCACGCGAACCAACTTTATATGGATCTCGCACTATGGCCTTTGCCGGAGATGTTGACTGCTCTTTGCTAAACAGCGGGCTTTCATTCTTGGATGAGGTCAATGACGACGACGAAGGTGAAAGAGACATCAACTTCCTAGCATCCTCGTCGTGTTTCCCAAAATGTGCTGATAAAACCTCCTCATGCTCGTGTAGGCAAAAGTCATAGTGGTTTCTGTATGCTATTGAAATCTTTAATAAGCCCATGCTGGTATTAATTGGGGCAAAGTTCTTCTGTGTTGTATGAGATTGTGGCAAGCTTGATTGACTATTGCTGATGATGGGCTTTGACAAGCCAATTCTTCCTTTAGAGCTAATCGGTTGGTTACCATCAAGGATCTTATTGCCTAGGAATAGCTTGTTCATGTTTTTCTTTTTCAATTTATACGCCGGCATCAACCTTGAATAGCCGTATATAGTTCTAAACAAGATGATTGCTTGTTTGTAAATTGAAGGTAATTCGTCAGCAGCTTGGCTGGGTACATTCTGGTCAAATTCAATAAGCCAACGCTCCAACACAACTTCTTGCTTTTTGCCATTGGGGCTTGAAACAGTCCACGGGTGTTTTTTCTCATCAAATAGTACCAATGTTTGATTTGCAGGCAATTGTCTCAAGTCAAGATAGGTTTCAATAATCATCGGTGGAATCGATCCCACATCGGCCGTCTTCCACAACTTCAAATCTTCCTTAGCTGCACCTGATGCAGACAGCATATGAAGATTAAACCATTTGTTGATTCTCTGGCTTTGTTGATCACTAGTTCCACCAAATGGTGACTGGCTAAATGTTTGCGATTCAGAGCAGGCTCTTGAATCTAGTATTACTTGTGCTGCTTTGGTAAAGAAATTTATTAGCACTTGAGTGAGCTTTGCTGTTTGTTTCCTGGCTATAGCCTCGCTTTGTGATTTATTGGTCTGATCAACAGACATCGTGATAGATTGATTAGTGTTGATATCGTAGTGATTTAGGTCTCGAAATCTGATGTGCTGTTTTGGTGTGGCGATTGGACTATATGAGGCTCAGTCTATGCATAGTCACTTGAAATAACTGTCCCTGGGGGTTTTGCTGTGTAAGTCAGTATTGCACACTCTCTATTGGTCTAGATGACTGATGCTTTTTTCCTCCTTAACGAGCCAAGCTTATAGTGGTGTTCGATTGGGGTGGAGAAGATTATGTTGTTGCTAAAAGAACTGTGGTTGTATGTGTGTAAAGGAAAAATTGATCCTTAGACGCGAAGTTTGTACTTGCTTTTGCGATAATGCTTAGATCTGCGTGTCACACCCACTTCAAAATAGATTGCAAGTGATAACGTCTACCCTTATATTATCGGGATTGGATGAAAAGAAGAACTTAAGAAGGCTGACAGTCTGAGGCTTGTGTTATAAAATGCGTGTTCAAATCCAAAGGAGGGGGGAGCAAAGCAAAACAGATACTGGGGAGTGGTGTAAAGTAGTATTCCTTTAAACTGGCAAAGCTTTAAGGAAAACACAACTAGAACTGGGTAAAGCACTTGGTTGTGATGCTTGCTAAGGGGGGAAGGGAGATCTAGAGATGAGTGTAAGATCTAATTTTTTCCTTTCCCTGTATGACTCAGCTATATGCTTTGTTTGTTTATTCTTTTTTTGCCTTGTCTTATCGATAAGAGGACTGAGATTTATAATAATTTTTAGGACAATATACATAAACTGCAACATTAATTACCCCTCTCCATAAAAACAGTAGTATTTGGCATTCATAACTACTTTACGACTTACATAATTAGATTAGATATACATTGTGAACCTTAATGCTCACAGACGTTACTGGTAAACTAACATGTAGTATTGTGACTATATTAATCATCGCATGTCACAATGTGCAGTCCTGGTCAAAACGAGTGTCTGTGACGTGACTGCTCTCACTGAAAACCTCCTTGAAGGTAACTACGCAGGGAGAGACAAACCAAATCACCGCTGAATGACATACTAGCTCATTGATGAATGATTGCGACTGTCATCCACTTTAAAAGTATGACATTAATGTGGCTCGCTTATTATACGAGACAGATGGAGTGGGGTGCACCTTCCCCGCTGCAACAAGGAAAGAAATCAGTTTAACTTTCTTTGCGAGAGGGGGAATGTTACGTCACAAGCCTAAAAGTGGGACTTACAATGAGATGAGATGGAAAGTATGACGCAAGAACTATTGGGTCAACAGACTTGGTTGTGCTGCTTTGTATAGACATTTCTGATGCGCCCACCGTGTGTATCCTCTTCTGGCGACGCAATCTCCCTAAATCCCCACGACCCGCATTGTGTTATCGACCTAAACTTAGGACGAAAGAAAGGGAGAAAAGAGGAAAAACATCACCACTGAATTAGACCCTTCTCACTTTCTCACTCTCTCATCGACCAAACTTTTTTTTTTTGATTTTTTTTTAGCCATTGCAGATCATCAAACTAAACGCACACACAACTCCCACATCATCATCCTTTCTTGTATGAATTATCAATATGGACGATGATAACTTTGATATAATTCGGGCCCAGTCTCCAAAATCATACTTGTACACATCTGTTGCTTTGGCTCATCTAGGAGAAGTTGCATCAAAGATCATTTCAACACTAATTGCCCATGGCCGCCAAACAGCCAAAGAGTTGGGTCAGCGCACTCGACTTACTTTGAAATCGATCAAGTCGGCACTTGTTTCATTGATTCAACTAGGCTGTGTTTATTTTTGGCAAGAGAAGGATATCATTTACTACTCATTTAATGAAACTGGCTTGAAGATATTGATCAATAGTGGTGACATACTAAACCACGTTACTCAAGAATATGGTGAAGAAGAAGCGGAAACAATACAAAATGTTTTGCAACTAGGCCATATCAAATTGGACGACTATCTCAAACAATTTGATCAAGACAAACCACAGCGATTAAACAAGGAAAAGATTATTCTTAAATTATTCAATGACGGGTGGTTAAAAGTGCTACGCATCTTTGATTATCATGACATGAACGACATCTGGAATCAATTATTCGAAGATACGCTAAAGAAAACTCCTCGATCAGCAACTACTTCCGAAATCAAACGAGTGGCTGAAGTAACGTCCAATTGTAAAGAGAAATTATTACAGCTCATTGAAACTCAACCAGCTTCCGACTTGTACATCAACGAGCATGGATTTAAAAAATTGAACCCCAATTTAGTATTAAGCTTCAACCTTTCTCGTTTTCAAAAACATTCACGTACAAAAACATATGCCAATTTGGCCAAATCAAGAATTGGTGTACTTTCAGCAAAAGTCTTTGAAGCCGGATTGAAATCTATTGAAAGCAATACCCCTGACTTGACGCATCCGTTTATTGAAATTGATGGGTTGTTGAATAACCCGGGCGACGTTGAAGATTTCAAACACAGTCAAGAAAGTAGCTTAGTAGCAGAAAAGAAGATTATTTTCACCGCCAAGGATGTGTTGAGACATCTACCTAAAGTTTTGGATCTACGCGACTCGGTAATTTCCAACACACTGGGGTCCAGTATCAAGAGGGAGTTCCCGGATGATGAAAATGGCGATGGTGGACCTACAAAAAAGTTAAAACTTGAAAATGGACACAGTGCAACTACATCATCCACCTTGGACTCCGATGATGATGATCAAAAATTACGCTTTATTCAACAGCACTTGCAACTTCTTGCTTCTGGTACCAATACCAAATTCATTATCGAAGTATCACCTGGCCGTTACACTGTATCCTTTTTCCACCTTTCCCAAGCGGTCAAACAGTTTACCTACGAAGCCCTCATCAAAGCCACCATGAAGGATGATGCGTTCCGAGTCCTTCGATGCATCAAACAATTACGCTTGGCTGATGAAAAATCGATTGCCCAGGCAGTTCTTCTCAAGGAGAAAACAGTACGAAGTGAAGTTTATCACCTTGTTAGGGCCAACATTGTCGAACTTCAAGAGGTTCCTCGTAGTGCCGATCGTGCTGCTTCAAAGACATTTTATCTATTCCGATACAAGCAACAGCCATGCTATGACCACTTGGTCAATAGTTTGATCTTTGATATGGGTGAGATTCTAACCATTATCAACACATTTGAACAAGAGAATAAAATCCTTTTGGACAAGTGCCAACGTGTTGACGTTCAAGGCCATGAAGAGGAGTACTTGATTGAGTCGGAATTGAAGACATTGCATAGCTTGCAGAATAGAAAAATCAAAAATACAGTCAGATTCAACCGAATCAAATCCTTGTGGGATGTCTATAGTTTGTAATACAATAACCTGCATTAAATAAATTATACGTTTTCTTATTCAAACTCTACCAAACAAAATCTATTCGTCATCGTCATCTTCATCTTCCTTGTCTGGGGCAACATATGTCTGGGGGATGTCGACTTCGGTCTTGAACTCATCGACACCGACTCTTTCAGCAGTGACTTGAGCAGTGTGGTCCTTTGGCACATGGTCAACCGCATCGGATAATTCAACAAGTGCCAATGGTCCCCATAACATGATACCAGTAAGAGCGATAAACCAACCTACCAAACTACGACCTTCTTTGGCAAAAACGCTAATAACAGATGCTTTGTTTGGCCATACTGGTAATCCCTTTTGACCGTTGTTAATATCGGTAGAAATTTGTCTAGCAAATCTCAAGTTAGTTGTCGTGGTTGTGCGACGTAATTGCGAATGAATTGCTCTTCTAAACATGATGAAATTTTTGGGGTGATAGAATGTAGAGTAGAAAGTAAGAAATTTTTCTTTTTCTTTATTTTTTTTTCCCAACGTATTTACTAAGTACTTATGAAACAATAGAGCTTCCTCCTCCCTCTCTCTTTTTCCTCCAACAAGGATCAGGTTTGTGTTCATGACATATTTCTTGATGGTTCTCTATTGTTCTTGTGTATTTTTTAGTCTTAAAATTGCGATCCAACTGAACGTTCTAGCAAATTAAAAAAAAAAAAAAGAAAAGAAAAAAAAAATCTCGGATGCGACAAATGAAACGAAGATTTTGTGTAATATGCTTTCCCCAGGCCGAGGCACCCCTAATCGATCTACAACGATTCCTTAAACCCAGCAAAATCAAATTGATCCTCAACGATAGCATCCCCTTCTAGCCTGTACTTGAGCTTGATTCTAAGTTTCAACTTGGATCCTGGTTTGCCCGAAACTTTCAACACTTGGCGAATTTGGCTCTGTCTGGATATCAAAGTGTCACCACCAGAAGTCGATGTGATGTTTAGCTTTTGTGTTTTTGGAACTGCTATTAAAAGTTGGAATTGATCGATCTTGGTTGATGATTTGGAAACAATGATTGCTTCAACGATGGCATCTCCTGTAATGAACTGTTTTGGTACGAATGAGACTTTTACATTTGCATTCTCAAACGCAACAATCTCATTTGCACTAGCACCATTAAAGTTATTCGAGCTTTGGCTCTTGGGATTGCTATCGCCAAATATATCCGATAGTATATCATTACTAGCTGTCCCTGGTGCATCATCATTCTCAATCAAGTCCAACAATAAATCATCCTGGGTGGAGTTTGTTGAAATAGCTGCAGAAGCAGTCCCACTACCACCACCTTCGTTCCTCTTATGATGATTGCTTGTCTTGTGTAGTTTCAACGATTCACGCTCCTTGACCGGTGGTGCCGGCATTTTTCCAAGTAAACCGCGTTTCAATGCTGCATCTTGGCCAAAAATCTCCTGATACTCTACTGCTCTAATTTGTATTTCCAAATTCGAGTCGTATGTTTTGGAGTTGATGATTCGCCTCAAGTGTTCTATCACCAGTGAGTTTTTGAATTTGACCGACAACTTCAACGTTGATGTTAATACATATGCGGTCAATTGCAAAAGCTCTTGCGCCGAGTAGGTTGAATTATCAAGCAATTGTTCAAACAAGTCAACAATCCGTCCTTCAGTAACTTGTTCTGATTTCTCACCTGCTTCAACCAGCGTACCTAATATCAAATCACCATATTCACCCAAAGTCCAGGTCGTCACTAACGCCAATGCAAATTGGTTTTCATCTTCCAAACAAGAGGCAAACAACCTCAGAACAACATGCTTTTTCAATTCTTGGTCATTGCATTGTAATATCAAAGCAAGTATATTGGAAGTGATATCTGGTGTCAAGGCGTTGCCTCCTGCCTTGAGTGTCCTGATCAACGTATCATAATGCCATTTGTCATTTGGTGAAAACTTGCTGGCGGCTATAGTCAATTGTGAAGTGACATATGACTTCAACTCTTGATCGGAACACTCTTCTAGAAAGGTGAGAATTTCTCTAGCCAATACTCTTATATTCTGTTCGTTTATAATACCAAACGACAATTCCAAAGCTCTTCTCCTGATGGAGATATCGCCATCGGTTAAACAGTTGACAATTGTCGATCTGTGTCTTTGAACGGCCAAAGGTTCAATATTCACAATACTCAACAAGGTATCCAAAGCAACATAACGTGTATTGTTGTCCTTTGTAGCGAGGAATTTACCCAAAATATTAACTCCCAAAATCTTGAGCGATTGATCAGATTGAATTGCGAATATCGTCTTGACGCATTCGTACAAAATTGCATTGGCAGCGTTTTTGCCACTATCCAAATTTGACACAACCTGTGTTAAGATATCGTTAATCTCTTCGGAAAATGGTAAATCAATGGCCAATGTCCTAATACCCGACAACAAGCTAACTTGCAAAAATGGATCGGTCGTACCCATAACATCGTAATCTGGTTGATAGCCCATCGTTGTTACTCTTTTCAAATGACCAACAATCTTGGGAATAGCCTTTGTCAAAGCTGGTCGATTTTCATTTGAGACATAATACAAAGCTTCAATCAATCTCAATGTACCCAACAACACCGATGAATTTTTTTCATTGATCAAGTCCAATGCTTTTGGTAAAAAGAATTCTGACAAGTCAGGCTCTTTCTCCACCAATTTTGCGGCAACGATACAGGCCTTTTTTCTCAAAAAGTTGTTTTTGGAGTCGAGGATGGTTTCCACATTGGTATACAAGTCACGAGCCAATTCTGGAGATGCAATGTTTCCAAGACAGCAGAGCGCCAATGCAACAATGTATGCATTATGGTGCTGCATGTCATTATCCAATGAATTTGTCAACAAGGTTAAAACCTCTTGATTTTCATCCAAAATCAACATGCACGCCAAGTATCCCAATCGCTTATCAGCAAACCTAGGAGATGCAAGTAGCTTAAGACACTCCACCTGACCAAAGTGAGTCTTTTCTCCCATGATATACAAGTACAACAACTTGGATATATTGATTCGCCTTGTTGTTTGGTCAAGACCGACATCTCTGAACGAAGTTCTAATTGCCGCTGATTCCTTTTGGATCACTGCACGTTCATCAGCAATCGTCTTGGCTTTACGGACTGCCTTGATGAATGACCTTAGAGAGCCCATTTGATGGAGGTGGTTTGATTTTGTGCGGGTGTACTGAGGTTCGCTTTTGAGGTTACCGTGTCAATGTCTTTCTTTTTTATGTTTTTGTTTTTTTTATTTTTTTTCAAAATCGTTGTTGTTGATTTTTGGAATCTTTTGTGTTTCAGTTACATGGTGGCCATTTATGAGAGAGGAGGAAGACTTACATGTGTACCACAGGCATAGTAAAGTCTTTGCACCTGCATGTCCTTCAACAGGAGGAGAAGAAGAGGAAGAAAAAGAAGAAGAATCTCCACTCAGAGATGTTACTTCATTCTCTCTTGCGTGAGCTCATTTGTTGTTTTACTCCTTCGCTACAAGTCCTCTCAAGGCTAGACTATATGTTTATTAAATTTGGTTGTGGAATATCTACAAAACTACACACTTCTTCTTCTTCTTTTCCTTCTTGTCCTTGGCCTTTAAGGAAGCTCTAGTAGCAGCTTCAAATACTTCTCTAACACCTCTTCCGGTCTTGGCAGAACATTCCAAATAGTCAGCAGCACCAATCTTTTGAGCAACAGATTGTCCCTCCGAAGTAGAGACTGGTTGTTGTTGTTGTTGTCTTAAAGCCTCAATGGTGTGAGGATCATCTCTTAAATCCGATTTACAACCAACAAGGATAATAGGGACACCTTGGCAAAAGTGCAACACCTCAGAAATCCATTTTTCCAAAACGTTATCCAAAGAATCTGGTGAATCAACTGAGAAACAAATTAAAATGACATTTGAATCAGGATATGACAATGGTCTTAATCTATCGTAATCTTCTTGACCAGCAGTATCCCAAAGCGCCAATTCCACTTTTCTTCCATCAACCTCGACGTCAGCAACGTAGTTTTCAAAAACTGTTGGGACGTATACTTCAGGGAAGGTTCCTTTAGAAAAGACAATTAATAAACAAGTTTTACCACAAGCACCGTCACCGACAATGACTAATTTTCTACGAAGTTCAGCAGGACCATTGACCATTTTGTATGATATGTATAAGTGTGAGTATATGTATGTGTAGGTGGAGGGGTAGGATGAAAGGGGAGGAGGTAAAACAGACGTGTGAGTTGTTGTTGAGTTTGTTGTTCTTTTATTTTTTTTCTGTTTTTTTGTCGATAAGGAGTAAAACTAAGTGTTAAAATCCTCAATTAGGTAAGCTAAAAACTGGTGATGCAAATGAAACCAAGTGTGTTACTATATTATGTGATCTATATGTGTATAGTAATAATAACAATATAAGATGATAGCCAAAAATCTAACCTGTGATTGATTGATTAATTGATTGATTTGGTAGGCGCTTTGATTAAAGTATAAAAGTGGTGTTGATATGTTGAGAGATCACAAGTGTTTTAGAAAAAAAAAAATTTTTTTTGTAATTGAAAAAGAAGAACAAAAAAAAAATACACAAATTTTGTGTGTGTGTGTAAGGTAGGCGTAGTAATTATGTATATATTGTAGAGAATGTGTTGTGTTAAATTTCAGTGTCAATTTCTTTTGTCTTTTGACATTTTACTGTTTTTTTGTTTTGATTTTGTTACAAGGTACACGTACTAAATGTATTTTTATCTCGTGTCGCTCGTGTAATTCTTCAAACAAACAATGTGGCTGAGGGCAAATTTAGTTTGCCTAAATTGGTGATGGATGAGGACGCTGCACTAGGCACGCCTTTGAACACTACAAGATTAACAGTTCTGGCTGTGACTCTCATAAGTGAAGTATTTAGAGCTATTTTTAAATTACAGTTTTAGTATGTACAGCAGTTAGGCCTAAAACACTCGACAGGGCCATACACTCTTCAGTTGGTACACTGTTGTAACTCGCTGTTTTATCACACGCTTTTCCTTCGTTTGGCAGAACAATCGGTAAGTGTAACTTTGTTCGGATCGTACGCCAAATTTCAAAATATGACGAAACTGGAATTGAGTGAGTGTGTTTGTGTTTAATGATGTTTCCTTAATTGAACAAAAAAAAACAATACAAAATTCAAAGCGTGTCAATTACTTATTTCTGTCGTAATTTCACGCAGCCCCCTTTCGAAAATGATTTTGTTTTATTTGGTAGCAACTGAAACGCAAATTTCAAATCGGTAACATCTACTAAATCCGTCTCCTCAAAAGGTGCCAAAGGGTGCTCTCTTAACGACCTCACTCAATCATTGGTAAGAGCACATATAAGTATAATCAAGTGGAATACTACACATTATTGTCATGAAATTTTGGTGTAAATATCGCATTCAGCATTGTATGAGCTTAACCACAAGCAGTCTACCTTATAATCCTTTCCATTCGGGAAGTAGCTGAATATATAACAACAGCGATGAAGAGGACATACAATAGTCTTGTGTTTTCTGTAGAGGGTAGATATTTAATAAAATTTTAGTTAATGATAAGCACGAGATGATATTAGTATAATCCAGTTTATCATTACAAGAAAAGACCTGTTCATTCATTTACTATGGTATAGATCTTTCCTGTTGAACTTTATGTCACGTCACATCAATTTTACTTTTTGTTTCAATTTGGTTGCGAAATTGGGTAAAAACAGGAGTTAACGAAAAATAAACCAGATAAGTTCAGTGCAATAGGGAGACAGACAATCAAGTAGATAGGGCGTGCTTGGATTAATTAGATAAGCAGGTGAGCCACTGATGACACTGATATCCACCCATTTATGGAAGATAAGGTGTAGACACAACAAACGATTTGTAGATAAACTTTTCAGTCCAAAGAGAGTTACTATTGCAGCCTAAACAATTGAATCACGTAATAAGATGGGCTTACACGTAATAACCATTATGAGGAGGTGTAACCACAGTGGCTATTGTTTGACTTCCAAAGTTGGCTAAAACTGTGTGATAACAAAGAAGATAAGAGGAGATTTTTATGTCGTGCCTTTCGCAGTTCTTATCTTCTTATGCAAATTATGACAAAAACAAAGATAACAACAAAGAGTAAAGATAGAGGCAAGATCAGATAAGAAAACTTGTCATCTATTGGGGAAGTTTTGAAGCATAGACGGAAGTGGTTATAGGAAAGGAGGAAGGTGTTCTAGTTTACACGCCTCCTCCTCCACGTACTCTATTGGAACTAAAAATAGAACCTCACCAAGGAAAAAGAAGGTTCTAGCCATCGAAAAGAAGTTAAATCCACAAACGCGAATGCCTTTTCCTGGTAGATAGTACACTACCTTTTTTTATTTTATTTTAATTTTTCTCCTCTATGTTTTATTATGGCTAGTGTGAGCTAAACAAATCCGCCCCACTTTCCGATTCCTATCAAATGTGATAAGGATATTATCAAAAGTGTGGACTTTTGATAGATAAGCTCTCCACACTCCAAGGTCCATAGCAATTATAAAAGATTATCTTACTTTCTTTGATTATGCAATTTTTATCTTATCTACTCAGTGGGGAATAATAAGCCTAATGAGAGATAAAAATTTCCGTGTGTCAATTGGTGAGAGAGAGAGAAAAAAAGTCACCTGGTTATCTAAAAGATAAACCCTGCGAGGTGCATGCAATATGTGTGTATGGTTGTAATAATTGAATAATGGCAAATTGCATATGGAGAATAATTTGTAAAGAAGTGGCCAGAGTCCTGCATCGGATTTAGTAAGGTTATATGTATGTATGCTGCACATAGTACATAATAAATACCCAAATGCAGATAACTTTTCAAACTAAGAAAATATTTTTTCCAACAGATGCAGACACAGAAAAAACAGACAGACAATTTTAATTACAACTAAACAAAACTGATTAGATAACAACCACCACCACTCACCACTGCCAACTAAAATATAAAAAGATCATACAATAAAATATGTACCAAAGTACACTACTTTTGTAGCGAAAAGAAAAATTTTTTATTTTATATTTTATTTTTTATTTATACACACAATACGTATTCCTCTTTTCTTTTATCAGATAAACTTTTAATCAAGACAAAACAACAAGAGCTATACCACTGTAACAATTTACACACCGCACCACTTCACACTTTATCACATACTCATATCACAAGCTATAATCTTTGGCACAGTTACTATTCACTGGATCGCTAAGAAGAAGAGAGTAAAAGGTTTATCAACACTATAAATAGAAAGGTCTTATTGTTTTCCATCAGATTCATTCGTTTATCTTTTCAAAAAAATTTTCATTTTTTTTTTTATTTTTTTTTCTTTTTTTCAACCAATTGAAAAATTTATTTCATTTACTTTTTATCAGTCTTTTTACTGTATTCCATTCTGATACTACTACCACTACCACAACCACAACCACCATCTGTATATTATTTCACATATTCAAATAATGGCTTTACTTGATATTCAACAACGTCCTTCCCAGCCAGTACAGTTAAAGAGTCCACATGCCAAAAGTAACTCATCATCATCACCACCATCATCTACTACAAATACTACTACTACTACTACCACTGTGCTACCAAAGTTTGAAGAAACAGTAAAGGCAGCACACGGAGATGCAAATACACACTCAGGCCCTAAGCAGCAGCAGCAACCACTGTCAGTGTCATATGCTACTGCTACTGCAACTGATTCCAACCCAAGTTCACTTAACTATAAGCCAGGAGAGAGTCACAACCACGCAGGGTTCAATGTGAAGGTGTTTAATGTAAATGAATCTGTTACCACACCAGCATCGGCTTTATCTACCCCACCAGCAGTCAAGGCTAAAGGTGACTATGAATCTAATTCCAATAATGCTACATCAAATTTTCAATCACCAGGATATAAAACTGGGGAAATCATTTCCCATCCTTTACCTACACCACCATCAAAACTAAAGAGTCAAGATTCTCCTTCTTTGCCAACACTTCCCTCAACTGAAGGTTCAATAGAACAAGCCCATGGGAGCACAGACGGAAGTGCTTCTGCTGCCAATCATCCTAATGTCAAGCCAACGTCTCATATAAACACCGACGGTACTTCAACATCCAAGACCAACCTTTCGAGTCCGGTATGTCGCAATTGTAAGACGCAAACGACACCATTATGGAGAAGAGATGAAACAGGACAAGTTTTATGTAACGCTTGTGGGTTGTTTCTCAAATTACATGGACGTCCAAGACCAATCAGTTTAAAGACTGACACAATCAAGTCAAGAAATAGAGTAAAACTGGGTGCAAATGGAGCTAACTCGTCGTCAAAGGGAGCAACAGCGTCAAATACACCTGAATTAAAGTCAAAGGATTCGAAGTCAGGCAAGAAGTCACCAAAACTGAAGAAACTCAAGAATGCAACTGGTGGTGCAAATGGAATTGGAGGTAGCAATACTCACGGCAATGATTTAACACCACTTTTACCAGCTACTTCAGGCAGCAACACACCAGCCACTTTTAAACCAGAAGGCGGCAATAGTGTAGGTGGATCTCATTCCTACAATAATTTAGCTTCAATTAATGGAAATGGTTATTACCAGCAACAGCAACAACAACAACACCTGTTGCACCATACGCCACATTTCCCTCCTCACTTACCAAACCATGTTTTACAAGCACACCAACAAGTGCCATTACACTATCCGTCATCTACACCAACTCAGTTTGCCCCTGGATTAAGAAGAATTACGTCGCCATTGATGTTATCAACAACGTCGTCATCAGCAGTAAGGAATGAACCAATAGCCGCACCAGCAGAGACAAACACCACTGCAGCTTCGTCAACTGCCGAGTCCAATTCAATGCATGCAGCAGCTGGTGTGTTGGAAAACTTGTCTAACGAACTAGGTCCTAGTGCTACATTCAAACCAGATTTAAACACAGGAGCTAGACAAAAGGGAGTTTCCTTGATGCAAAAGGATTCAAGGCCAACTAATAGCAACACCACAACTACAACCGGTTCATCCTCGTCTATTTTCTCAAGCGTTACTCCACCTCAATTGCCACGTTTACCGGCGTTGAACAAGACTTCGCCCGCTTTTTCAGCAGCACAATCGAGGTCATCCACGCCAACGTTGCCTCCATTACATCATGTTGCTTCTGGTGAGATTACTTTGCCTTCATTAAACAAATTTTCTCTTCAACAACCACACCAAACCCAGCACCCAGCTTCAACCGTCCCAACCCAGCAGCAGTCAACAAACAACCTGTCAAGAAGCGGTTCTGAGCAACCTTCTAATTCCTCCAGCCGAAACGAAACTCCAAAAGGAAATGACAACCACAGCAGCAACGACAATAACAGGGGTGGCAGCAGCAACAACAATAACAACAACAACTCCAATCCTCATGAAGTCACCATTTTGAAAACACGTATTTCCGAGCTTGAACTAGTTAATGATTTATACCGTACACGTATTATGGAATTAGAAGCCATGGAACACGCAGCAAGATTGAGAGAAACCTCAATGAGAAAACGTTTGGAAGAAGCAGTGGAGTTACAAGCCAGTCAATTGGAGGAGTATAATCGCAAACAAGAAATGAATGCGTCTAAATTTGGTGTTGGACTGGGTCAACGTTTATATTATCATCAACCAAGTGACCCTGAGATTGCCGCAGCTGTTTCCAACTCGAGACAAGTGATTGGGTACCAACTGTACTTGGCTCACGATGAACAAATGGCACAAGCTCAACACCTGGGAATTCAATTGAGTGAACGATTGGGCCAGTCTCAAAAACAACAGCATCAACAACAGCAACAAAAGCAACTGCAATTTCCAGATGGTAGTGTAGCTGATGCTTCTAGAAAAGAGAAACCTACCGGCATTTCGACTCACGAAGGAGGTTCAAAGAGAACCAACGATAGTTCAGTCATACAAGGAAATGAAAAGAAATCAAAACTAAATTAAAAATTAATTCAATATTTTTAAAAACTAATGTAATTTTGTATAATTTGTATACTTCCTTTGGCTGTAAACAAAAAAATCAAGTCCATTGTAATTATAAAAGATAAATAAAAAGAAAAGTATTCAACACTACGTAAACATCAAATCTGGAAAAATGATCATGTACGTACATCGGGTTCTTCTTTACCCAAAAATTGTTTAAACTTCAACAAGTTCAAAACAAAGTCAATGTCCTTGACCAAATACTCATCAACTTTAACTTGATAAGTTGACGCATCATTGGAATGTTTTTCCAAATATAATCTAACCGTAGCTCCAGAAGACCCGGTTCCTGATAACCGAACAATAAATCGTAATCCATTGGTGAATTTAATAAACAAACCCTGTTTGGAAGAAATTGATCCGTCTAAATCAGTATACGAAAAGTTCTCGGCTTGCTTAATTGTATAGCCAGGAGCCAATTCATCACCTTGTTTGTGCTCATCAACAATCTTTTGCAACAAGTCAATCAATTTATTGGCACCCTCACTCGAGACATTTTCATAATCATACCTGGTGAAAAAAGTTCTTCCATACTTGTCCCAAAATGAATTTTGAACAATTTCAATCGACGTCAGTTTACCAGGGTTTGATTTATGATAATCAGCTAATAAATTCAACCAAGCTACAATGGCCCATAATCCATCCTTTTCTCTAATGTGGTTTGATCCAGTACCAAAACTTTCTTCTCCACAAATACTCAATTTTTTAGCGTCAAAGAGCGAACAGAAAAACTTCCAACCGGTGGGGACTTCGTATACATCGACTCCTTTATCTTTCGCAACCAAGTCAATGGCTCCTGAAGTTGGCATTGACCTAGCCAATCCATAGATACCTTGTTTCTTGAAGTAAGGAATGGCGTCTGCATATTCTGATATAATAGCCACTGAATCACCGGGGGATACAAATGTACCTGCTCCGTAAATCATGTTTCTATCACCATCACCATCGGATGCGGCACCAAATGCAATACCTTCTTTATCCACTCTTTCAACAAGTGTATGCGCATAAGTTAAATTTGGATCAGGATGCAAACCACCAAAATCGCTCAATGGTTTACAGTTCTGAATTGATGATTCAGGCAAGCCCAATTCTTCAACAAAAATCTTGTATCCATATGGACCAGTAACACCATTCAACGCATCAAATAAGACTTTAAACCCTTGTTCTTTTGTTGCTTTGTCCAAGAATGATTTAATCAATGGGAAATCAAAGACGTCCTTCAACATTTCAACATAGTCCTTGGTGGAATCAATAACTTCAATCTCAAGAGGACCTGCTTTAACTTGCCCAATTTTGGAGATGTCAACATCGTCTAATTGAGCCAATTTATAACTGGTCAACGTTTTCGAAATGTCAAAAATCTTGTTGGTGACTGATTCAGGTGCTGGTCCACCATTGCCCAAGTTGTACTTGATACCTAAGTCATTCTTTGGTCCACCAGGATTGTGACTTGCGGTTAAAATGATCCCACCAGTAGCTCCCAACAATCTAATCACATGTGATGTAGCTGGTGTAGACAAGATACCATTTTGACCCAAGATAACTTTCTTTACACCATTGGCAGCGGCAATCTTGAAGATCAATTGAATGACTACATCGTTGTAGTATCTTCCATCACCTCCAATGACTAACGTTGCATCTTTGCTACCTTCAGGAATTGCATCTAAAATTGCTTGAATGAAATTTTCAGTATAATGGGGTTGTTGGAAAACAGTGACTTTCTTCCTTAAGCCTGAAGTACCAGGCTTTTGATCTTGGAATGGCTTTGTATCAATTGTATCAATTTTGACGTCTAACATTGTGTGGTGGAAGGTACCTGTTTGTATTCAATTGGGGTAGTCAAATGCTGGTTTGTCTTCTAATTTGTTGAACTTTTTTTTGTTAGCAAAGGAGATCTGTCTCTCTCCTCTTAAATCTCTAATAATCATTTATTTTCTTCTGTGAGGTGATTGATTATGTAAGAACCGAATTAAATTAATCTTACCAAATTATCCATCTACAGTAACAAAGAGACCAATAAAGAGAGGAGCAAACTGGAGTAACGTGGAACTCTGATATTGTTTAAACAGAGCTAACCAGGAACTACCTCTATTCAGAAAAGTGTACAATGAGATGTTTCAGTTTACTCAACCCACCCTCCACATATTCTCTTTCCATTTTATTACTCAGAAACAAATCAGTTCAAGTATATTCAGGTTTGTAATCTGCATGCTGATTTTGCACCGCACACATGTGCTCCGACTGAAATATATATCTCCCCCCCCCCCCCCACACCGGACTTTTCCAGCTTTCTTCTTCCCACGACACAAAGTCGTCTAGAATTATTACGCCGCAATTTGTCCCCCAACAAAAGCAACTAGAGGTTTAGCCACTAGAAGGGCTTACTGTGAATCTACAACGTCGCCTTGCTTCAAGATTCTTCATGACATACCTGTTGATATAGGCTGAGAGAGCAATAAATTAGTGTTCCTACTCCCTTCTTGCATCCAACTTTCTACTATTTGCATTAAGTTTCAGGACTTGCTTTTCCACGACAGTTTTAAATCTGACCTATTTACTCCAAGTTTATCCTTAAACGTAGCTACAATAATCCACTTCAATTACAGTACAGTTATTTGCTATCTTGTTTTTGAATTAGCACCCACCTGTTATTTGGTAACTAAATCAATCTCCACCAACTCTGTTCATGTTCGCAATCTTTATATCATCTATAGTTCAAACGCGGTAAATACAGCTACTTAAATTAACATAGACACATACAAAACAAACTAAAGACAAACTAAGAACAAAATAAATTGAAAAGACCAACTTCCTCAACTTTTATTCATGGGAAATGCCCCTTTCTTGGTCCAAAATATCCATCTGGAGCCAGTTCAGTGGCATTCAACCTACCAACCATATTACCATCATAACCTGTGTACACAACAGTATTACCCCACCAATTGATGTCCTTTTCATGATACATTACTGCAAAGAAGAAGATGATTGATGAAAATGCAACACCCGCACTCAAGCCTGTTGAGAGGAGATAGTTGTATTTTTGCCACCAAGCTTCGTACTTACCCTTGATGTACCACATGAATGCCAACGATACGTAGACACCTGGAATGTAATACGACAAATTGTATGGAGCGTAGTTTAACATACCTCCGATGATGATTGCTGGTTCAAATGTCTTTAAATACTTCTTGGGACCCCATTTCTTCAAAGCGATGCATGGGAATGCCAACAAGAAACCAATCAAGAAACACCATCTCAAGATAGGGTATAAATGGTCAAACACTTTCTTTGGACCGATGACACCCCAAAGGACAGAAGCAGTATAAAAGGTTCTTGTGCTGGGACAAGTGAATTTCTGTTTGTTGCCTGGTACGCAATAGTCCTTGATACCAGTTATCTGGAAGTTCAAAATAGCCAACTGGATGAATGAAGCAATGAAGATTGAAAGTAATTGAACTCTGAAAGTAGCACGCGGTGGAAGCTTAGTGTAGTGACCTTGTTTCAAATCGTTGATAAAGTTTTGCGCTTGCCCGTCAATATTGTAACCCAAGGCTTTAATGAACGATAAAGCCAAACCATTACCAGGGATTGCATAACCAACAATCAACTCAACCAAAACATTCAACCCA